CAGAGCATTTTTCTCTCAATTGGAGTTGGAGTTGTTCGGGAGACAAATTTTCAGTTATTATGTACGTAGCTTTTTTGGCACTAGAAATAACAGGTATACAGGGTGTCCTAGACCACCCGTCCACCCCCCTAAAATATTTTTAATATTACTTTTATTAAATAACGCAAAAATATGACCTATCTAATCAGGGATGCTCTATCTTTTGGTGGTATTACCGGTTTCGACCGGATTCGGGTTAAGCTGACTAGAAGTCCATTTTTTTAAATTAGACATACATAATTTTATTTTATTATGCTGACCGGAAATACATTTTTTAAAATAGTAAATACATGTTTTTACCAGTTCCGAGAAAAAAGTTTCAAACAAAAGTTACATAAATATTTTTATCCTCAGATAACCACGGGAAGATAGAGCATCCCCGATTTGCTAAGTTACAGTTTTGCATTTTCTTCGCTTCGAAAACAATTATTTTTGAAACGAAAACTTCCTAGTGGCGCACAATGGTCTGAAAGTGGCATAAATGGCATAAAGTTCATGTTTCGAAATGTCTCGAAAAATCCAACTAAGTGGTTGGCTGGACTCTAGACATTTCTACTAACACGATCTTAGTTTTTTTTTCTGGATTATTCAAAAGCACTTGATGTCTGTGTTCAATGAATCGTATTTTTACGTACAAATTTGACCAGGCATTTCACGGATTCAAAACTCGTAATTGAATGATCGATTTTTGTTTGACTTGTTTTCAATAGCATACAGGTGTTTCAGAGTTGAGAACATTTATAAATATGATTTTTCGCCAACGGGTTATTGAAACTACAATGTTCACTAAGCTTTGGGTAAATTATTGCGACAAGTTCCAGTTGCGTGTACTATTTATCTTTCATTGCCTGGACGCTTGGCAGATCCCCTTATAAGCTGTGGCAAAAATCACACTGAAAATTACCATGTATTTAATACCTTTGCCTTATAAATGATTCTTTATGGTTGATGGGCGTGCCACTGGGCCGACTTTTACCATCTTTGATATTTAAGTTTTTCTGGTTAAAACTATGATACATTATAACCGATTTTCATTAAAATCAGATAGCATTTATCAAATTCGTTCGATAGTAATGTAGTGTAGTAGCAGTTATATTTCTTGATTTCTAAGCAAAAATACTGCAGATAACAAATTACAGGACAATTGGAGCACAATTGATACTTTTTTTAACATCGGATTGAAGAAGTCGCTCGAAGCGAATCCTGCCTAAAATCTTGTTTGGTCTAGAACGGCGATTTGACGCACTGTGGAAAGCTGGTCAGTTCTCAGATCTTATACCACAAAGATAAGATCAAAACGACTGCCGTCTTTCTTATAGTATCTTTGATAGGGCTTTGTATTCAATGTTAAGTACGCTGCAGTACAGTCGGCATTATGTGAGCTCCATTCGATTCTAGCACTTTGATTAGCAGCTTGACACCATGTAATATTTAAGAGAGATGCATAAGTACTCATATGCTCGAATGTACCGTAACTGACACAACGGTCTGAATTGCAATAAAATGAACAAGAGGATGTGCGTTATCAAATAAAAACGAAAATTTTTTATGTCACAAATCAAACATGGGTTAGGGTGCGTTCACACAGAAAGCAGAGCCGAGCAGAGCGAGTGTTCACACAGCAATCTTTTTCATACGAGTTTTGGAGCTGAAAACAAAGCTGTTTTTGATTTTGAAGGTAAGTTTTGTATTATTTTTGCAGCCGATTCCATGCGAAAAGCTCCGTTTCGCTTCGTTCAGTATGAACACCAGCAGCTTCGCTTGCTTTGCTCGGCGCCGCTCGACTTTCTGTGTGAATGCACCCTTAGGTGCTCTAATTAACAGTCCGCCCGCTGACCACGGAGATCCAGTCTAATGCGCTAGAGAAAGAAGGTTTTACTAGACCCTACATTTCAGAAAAAAAAATCTTTTTCCAATTCGCAATAGGGTTCTTGAAGTTAACACACAAATAGATGGTCCTGCAATTCATGTCACTTTAAAACGACCAATGTATGTAATGTATGTATTTTTATGAGAAGCTTTTTCATGGAAGAATTACACGCGGAGGTTTAAAAATGGTGGTCGATGGGGTACCGCTTACATAAATTTTTTTGGGGGTTGATCTGATCAGGAATCTAGCCTTTAACCACTCTCCTGGGCCGGCCGTCGAAGGAAAAGTCTCAAAAAATCTTAATTTTTATGGATTCTACAAAAAAAAACGAAAATTCTCATTGCACTGATTTCAGCGTGAAAAGCACTTAGCTCAAAGGGAGTTGACTCTCCTCATTAAATTCCGAATTCGACCTCTGCGATCTGCTATTTAAAGATTCTATTCACCACTCCAACTCTGTTTTAGATTTAAAATTCTCTAAAATGTTTCAACTCCAGCGATGCCCGTCGGGTCCATTTATTCAAACTTATAAACCCCAAATATTGACGACATAGCACAGTAACTATACTGTTCACATCCCATAAGAAATTCTACAACCAGTATTTCTGAAATTCTATAACAAAAAGTATCTCCTTCAATGGTTAACAAAACGATTTATATTTTAATTTTAAATATTTTTTCCTACATATTTTACAAAATTTCTTTAAGTCATATTAAGTATAATTACATACATATGTACATACTTCGATTCTGTTTTCAGTATGGCTCAAAAACGTTTATTTTTTTGTTCCGTTAAGTTCCATCACTTTTTGGCGATACGTCCTCCACCAGCAATATCTGCCTGCCTGTCTATTTTGAATTCGCCAACCATAAACTTGATTGGCTGCCTAACAGGCAAGTTAAGCTCTGCGTGCGGCTACGTTTTATGTCAATATTTGGTCAACACATATGTAGCTATATGTAAACAAGCCGGCGCTTTTTAGCCACTTTCGCGGCTGCCGCTTAGCATAAACTGTCATACCTGCTGGTCTTTTGACTCAGAACAAACTTTCGCGTGTTTGCATACGAAGTACACCATGACGGAATTTCTCTTTTTTTTACTTCCGTTCGTATTTCCGTTTAGGAATAAAATTATTCCGAAATGGATTTGCCAATTTATACATACTCGTACATACTAATTTGTAGATCCATATACATATATGTATAAGCAACTTTAAAATTTTTATAAAAGAAATAATTAAAAAAAAAACGGTTGCATAATAATTATAATGCTCATTGAAATTTCGCAGGCACTCTGATTTGTTGGATAAAAATTCGACCTGCGGCTATAACAGTGCCACCGACCACCATAAACACTTACAACATTTGAAGTCTGAGAACTTGCTACAAAAGGACGATGACCTACCGCAAGTACCAACGCACCTTGATAGTTCGGAGTTCAATCGAATTTTGCGGGTAAGTGTATAATTTGTAGATGAAGAGTTTTTAGGATTTTTTTTTATCTCGTTCATTCTTTTAATTGCAGTATAAAAGGTCGTATGAAAATAACGATGTAATTCGCGGTCCCTATAATGCCGACAAACATTCTTCCTATGTGGAATTAGTTATTGTGGTTGATAATAAGGTCTATAAGTCATTTGGTGAGAGTCCGAGAAAAGTGCATCAGCACTGTAAGGATTTAGCCAACATCATCAATGCGGTAAGTTAGAAGAACGTAAGGAATGAAAACATGCAATACAAGTGACAATTCTAGTTTTAGATTTCTGTCTAGGTTAGCATATAGGGTCCTTTTTTCCGGTAAGTGGACCAGGGACCGATCCATTGGAAAAAATCGTACTCATGGTCAGATTTGCTTGAAATTTGACATGCAGGTAGCTTTTTGCCTAGATTATCATATAGGATCCTTTTTTCTGATAGGGGGACAAGATATCGATATATTCGAAAAAATCTTATTTATGTTGCGATTTCCTTGAAACTTGGCTTATTGCTTGGATTAACATATGTATATATACTTTTTTCTGATAGATTGACAAGGGACCGATCTATTCGAAAAATGTGATTTATGGTCCGATTTGCTAGAAATTCGATACACATACTATAAATATACATAGAATAGAATTGATGTTTTTTTTTTATAGCTGGTAAGGTGTTTTAATGCCCCGCAAAGCATGCGGGTATTGGCTATTTATCTATACTTATTATCTTTAATAATTACATAAAGAAAAGTTCCTTTTTTTATAAGAGGTGATCTCGGAAACGGCTGTACCGACTTTTTTTAAATTTTGGACTCCTACTGCATACTTTCCAATGATTGTTACAGGCTAAAAAAATCGATATGTAAAGGGGGCGTGGCACCTCTTATACAAACCGAATTTTTCATACTGCATTTCTCTGGAAGTGTTCATGGCAGATTACTGGAACTTGGCATCGAGATATAAGAAATCAATAGCCTACTCATGAAAGAAAATTTTGACCAGACGTACTGAAACTTTAAGCTATCTTTGTATGTACATATATATAATTCTTCTGTACATGTGAGTGAACTCCTACTCCCGATTTTTATGAAATTTTTTGTGTATTTAAGTGGGTCTCTGGATAGTTTAGATTTGCAATTTGAGCCACCAGGTGGCGCTGGAATATAGCTATTACTAAAAATCCTATTTATGATCCGATTTGGCTTATATTCGAAATATGTATTGGTATCGTAAAGAAAAATATTTCTGCGAAAAAATTTACCCGCCAAGTGGCTCTGGATTCGAGTTATTACTAAACATCGTCAAGTGAGAAAAAGTGTCGTGAATGTCCGATTACATCGACGTATTGGACCACTGAGTAATGCGAGCTCCCGTGTGTTCAAATTGGCCCAATGGATGCGATTTGTGAATATTATTTTGCGTTAAAGCTTCACTCGGAGGCACCAGGACTAGATAACTATGATAAATGTTTTACTGGAAATGGGAATTGTTAATTAAAATGTTGGACCAAAATGTTTCAATAAAATAAAAATAATAATTTTGGGCGGGACGAAGTTTGCCGGGTCTGCGTATATTGATAACTTCCAACGCCCGGCGGCAGGGTTAAATATTAACCGATTTCAAAATAAAGAATTTGCGTCTCCTTATTTTCGATATTATTCAGTTCTGTGGGTCGCTGAATTTATAGACTACTCTAAATACGACTTCATATAGGTACAGACTTTTCATACATCTCAATTACAACGCCATCTAACAGCTCAATTTTATAGAAAATTGTTTTCGTGGCTTTGAATTCTTTTTGATACTGCATGGACAATTGCCGTAGGAGACCTATATACTATGTATAACAAAATTAAGCACCACTTTGTTTCTTAGAACCTTTTAACCCACTAACTCTTAACAGAAAGGGTCCCTTTGATATGGTTTGAAAAAAAGAAGTTCAACAAGTGGGTTCAGATCAACTAGGGGTCACAAAAAATGAAAAAATAATAAATATCTTTAAAAAATAGGAAAATTCTCTTGGGGTTTGATTGCAAGTGTAAATACTAACGTTGGGTTACAGTTGAGATCCTGAGGAAGAGAAAGCATTTACCACCTGTGTTCATTATTGCGGCGATTCCTCAATACCTTGAGTTCTGCAAATAAATTTTTAAATACCCTTCGACGTGCCCATAAATATCCAGATAGGCTTTCGAGATAATTTCAAGTCTAAGGAAATTCCTCCAAAGTTTTGTTTTTAAATAAATCAATAGCTCAGATGGAAAACAAAATGGAAATTAAGTTTGAAAATTATGTATATATACATATACACATGTATATTAAGTACACTTAGGAAAAAGTCAGCTAAATATATTTCTCTCAACACATGATTGGTTACCTATAACCAAATAATTTAGCTATAGCAATTATTTAATATATTTTAGCATATAATATGTACATAGTATACATAATTATGTTTAATATACATTAATAAAATTGTAATACTTTTATTTATTTCTTCCCCTTAGTTGTATGTTCCATTGAATATCTTCGTTGCACTCGTGGGTGTGGTCATCTGGAATGAGTACAATGAAATCGAATTCTCCAGCGATGGTGATTTAACGCTGCGCAACTTTCTCAACTATCGCAGCACAAAACTGGTGCTGGACCATCCGAACGATAATGCACAGCTGCTGACTAAGGAGCAATTTAGCGGCGGCGTTGTTGGTAATTAGCATTTGCATTTAGAATTTAATTTGGTGTCAAGAAATTTTAATAAACTCTTTTCCCCCATCCAGGCAAAGCACTGAAGGGTCCAATTTGTACGCACGAATACTCTGGTGGCGTTTCCAATGAGCACAGCCAAATTGTTGCCGTTGTCGCCACTACAATGGCCCACGAAATGGGCCACAACTTTGGCATGGAGCACGATTCGTCCGACTGCAAGTGCCAAGATGAAAAATGCATAATGTCCGCTTCGTCTACCTCTGTGGTGCCAGTGCATTGGAGCAGTTGCAGCATTGACCAGCTAAATATTGCCTTCTCGCGCGGCATGAACTATTGCCTGCGTAACAAACCCACCAAGCTATTCGAGTCACCGCAATGTGGCAATGGTTTCGTGGAGCCGGGCGAGCAATGCGATTGTGGGCTGCCCAACTATTGCGAGAATACCTGCTGCGACCCGCACACTTGCATGCTGCACACGAACGCGTCATGCGCCACCGGTGAATGCTGTGATTTGAGTACGTGTCGACCCAAAGCGGCCGGCCAAGCGTGTCGTGTGGCAGAGAACGAATGTGATTTGCCTGAATACTGTACAGGCGAGTCGGAGTACTGCCCAGCAGATGTGTTCAAACGTGATACAGAAGATTGTGATGGCGGGCAGGCGTACTGCTTCCAAGGCAACTGTCGTTCGCACACGCAACAGTGTCGCATACTGTGGGGACCGACTGGCGAGAGTTCAGAACACTGCTACGGGAAGAACACGGAGGGAAAACGTGGCGGTAATTGTGGCTACGATCGCATCAACAACACTTTCATACCCTGCGAAAAGGAACACGTGGCATGTGGCATGCTGCACTGTCGGCATTTGAATGAGCGGCTAGAATTTGGCATGGAGTCTGCAGCAGTGCTGTCGCACTCGTTCATCAATCACGAAGGCAATATTGTGCCATGCCGCACTGCGCTCGTTGATTTGGGGTTGCAAAGCACAGATCCAGGACTCTCGCCAAATGGTGCTAAGTGTGGGGAAGGCAAAATGTGTGTGGACCAAAAGTGCCTGACGATAGAGCGAGTACGTGCCACGGGGCTGGGTAAGCAGTGTCCTGAAAATTGCAATAGTAACGGTGTGTGCAACAGCCTTGGCAATTGCCATTGCCATGTGGGCTACACGGGCGCAACTTGTCGCCTGCCAGGACCGGGTGGCTCCATTAACAGTGGACCTGCAACTTCGCCTACCAGTAAGTACTCGCATTTTTAGTGTTTGAACCATTTTCAAGTATACCCATTGTTAAGACTACATTTTCTTCAACTCCCGCGCAGGTCATCAAGTCTTCCAGAACTTCATGTATATCTTCTTCTTTGGCGTGATACCGTTTATGATGCTCCTACTCTGGCTCACATACTACATTCGCAATCGACGCTTCTTCCTTGGCGGCAAGCTGGCCGAGAATATGTATGTATCCACGCCGCACAAGTCGGTGTGCTCCTTTAGCACTACCACTAGCAATACAACTACTTCCTCCCATTCTTCCAACACTTCTTCTAACTTATCTTCTTCTGCAACTGCATCTTGGGCATTGCCTGCGAGCGCAACTAAACACTTGAAACGCACACCATTAGAATACTGTGCTAAGCGTGGTCAACTCAAACGTTCCAATACACTCAATACAAGCACACAAGCGCATGCGTACCCTAGCACCAATACAATCAAATCCAACAGTCAAACGCTAATCAGCCAAAGTGCCTCCACTAACAATTTAGCGCGTATACATAACAATTTGTTTTTATGCAAAAGTAAAACTAATGAAGATTTTAACAGCTTGGTCCCCAATAGCAAAATTATTTCGGTGGCGGAAATTAAAAATAAAATCACACAAAATAGTTTAAGCAAGAAAAAGTCAGCAGCAACACCAACAAAAATACCAACCATACCATTTGCCGCCGAAGGCAATGATTATTCAACAACACTAACAACTACACTTAAACGCAAAATCAAAGCGCCAAAAACCCCAACAACACTGAAATCAAAAGCAAGCGAGCAGCTACTTGCGGGCGACACTAGCTCACAGGACAACAGTCAGAATAATACATTGCGGCGTAAACTAGAAATCACCGATATACGCTTACAATCCACCACAAATCCAAATGCACTGTGCGATGGCGCACAGTACATAGCCAGTGATCCTGCTAGGTGTGTCTATGTTTTGGGTAGCCACAAGAAAAATACTATGAACCAAAGTAGTAGTAACTTAACTGCTGGCGATGATAGTAAACTAAAGAATAGCAAGTAAAAGCTATTTGATTTCATACACATGTACACATACATAAAACCTTATACGAGTGTGCATATATTCTTTATCGAGGCAAAAGGCCTTAACTGATTTTTTATATAAGCGAGACTTATTGACATCTTAAAAACGTGTCTACTTTGTCTATTAAGGCCTTAAGCCTTGATAAGGACTACATGTAGCTAAATAAAAAATAAAAAAACAGACTAAGTAAAAGTGTTGGCTGCTGTTGCTGATTTTTAATTCAATTGCCCTTGGCTGCGTTTGCTTTAACTGCATGTGTGACTCTTCTGTTCGCATGATAGACACTTTTGCTAAGTGTACTTGTAGGCTTCGGCTGCAATAAAAATAATAATAATGTTCGGCATCTGAAAACCTCAAGTTTTAATTTTGCATGATACTCTGGTTCTCAGAGGCCGAAGTTTGGTTATTTTTTATTTCATTGAAATAGGAGATTTTTCTTTACTTTGCTTTTAACGAAACTGCATTCTTTCGGAGTTTAAATAATTTTATTAATTTATTTTAGCTCATATAGCTTGAATTATAAATATTATTACTTAAGTATATACATATATATTTTAAACTCGAAAATATTAGAATGTGACTATAATCTGAATGTAACAATATTTGGTTCGAATAGCATGCATGTGTTGTTTTTTTTTAATAAATCATGCATGTGTATGTAGACAGTACACGAAGTTGAAATTAGTGCGTATTTAATATGGCATTTGTTCAGAAAATCAATTCCAAATGCAATTCTTCAAATAATTTTTACATTTCATGTTGTTGTTGTTTTGGTTGTTGTTGTAGCAGCATACAAATTCCCCAAAGAGTTTTTGGGGAGTGTTGTTGGAGTCCTTGGTGAAATATAAATCTGGGCCGTTCCGGTTACTTAGACCCGACTGACCCTAGCTATTTTTTCTGTGTTTTTATTATTCAGTTAATTGTTTCACACATAAACCTCCATACTAATATTGAAAGCGATACATTTAAAGATTTTCTTTGACATGTCTAGAACTGCTACTAAATGTTTACTATGTCGCATTTTCATTGCACTTTGAATGCCCAACATCTTAATGGCGAATTGGGCACAGAAAAAATATCGGTGGTGTTTCATTAATAAATAAAGTCATCAAAATGTGTCCAATACATACGTTTTCGAAATAACTCTACCTTGATGAAGCAGTATTGAGAGATATTAAGCTGAACTAACAATCCAATGCTGCCAAACTTTGTATAAGAAAAATGATCCTATACCCAGTATCTTGTGCATTGGAAGTACATGAAGGATCAGCTTTTTCCAACTCAGAGGAACAGTCGTTTTACCCAATTTGTGCCAAAACGTTAGTAGTCAAATTCCAATCAAATTCAAACACAATTCTTACCTAAGGAGACCTAGGTATAGAGAAATATACAAAAAAAAAACATTTACAGAAGCTTTTAACCCAATAACTCTTATCAGATCGTGTCTTTTTGACCCAGTTTTGAATGATCCCAATTTGCAAATGGCAGCGATAGATGATTCTATGCAGTCTCCAAAAGAAATTGACCATCATGTTACTTTTTATAAATAATTAAATATGTGGTGCCAGGTATAAACCCTGCAATAGTTTCATGTGTACGGGGAAACCTGGCAACCCCTCAGCAGCGTTAACGAAATGTCCATAAAGGAACAACAAATTGCGAGCCGCGTTTGAAAAGCCGAAGACGAAGAACGAAATTTTGATGTGTGCAGCATTTTTTAACTTAAACTTTTTTAAAGCATTTAAATTCATTACTTTTGAATTGCAATTTAAATCATTACATTTCATTCAGGCGCAGGTATCAAATATCGTCGTTTCAACTTTCTCTAACTACGTTTGCATGATAAGCGGGGGGTTTTCCCACTTTCAAACTTTTTCGATTATATGCTGAATTAGACTTAATGAAATAATTGAACCAAGTTTGGTAGAAATCTATAAAGTGGTTACCGAGACACACCTTGTATTCATAAAGTGGGCGGGGCAACGCCCAATACCTAAAAGTCTATCAGATGTCTGAAATTTACCATTATAGAGGAAGCGGGTGTAAATTTAGTCCGATTTGAATAATTTTCAACGAATTTCTTTCTTGTACTAATGTTATTGAGTGCACCGAGTTTGGTAGAAATTGATGCATGGGTTACCGAGGTACATATTTGTGGTCATAAGAGGGCGGCGCCACGCCCATTATCCAAAAATGTATAATAATCCAATTTTTTGTTATGTGGTTATTCTAATTATAGATTTTGAGTCAATTAGCTTCAGTAGTTACTGATTTATCGCAGTAGCGGTGGGCGTGGTTGTCGTTCGATTTCAAAGATTTTTGACAGATTTCTTAGCTTGACCCTAGGCAATGCTCGTACCGAGTTTAGTAAGGATTGGAAGGGAGGTACATCATTTGATCATAAGTGGGCGGGTTCACGCCCATTTTCCAAAAATTTCATAATAATATTTTTTATCACAACTCTACTCCACATTAATGTCATAGTTTTTGCATTTTTCGAAAACACCGCTATATGGGAAGTAAGCGTGGTTATGGACCGATTTCGCCAATTTTCGTTATCAATCTACCTCGGACAAAGGGAAACCTACATACCGAATTTCGTTGAGCTATCTCAATTTTTGCTCGAGTTATCCTGTACACGGACGGACGAACAGACAGGCATGGCTTAATCGACCTCTCTATTCATTTTGAGCATTTATGTAAACATTTGCTTATATCTATCTCGATTCGTTTTGGCTGTTACAAACAACCGTTATGTGAACAAAGTTAATATACCCTTGTGCACAAGAGCGCTCGGGTATAAAAATTAGAAAAAATAACATAAAATTTTAGCCCATTCAATTTTAGTAACACAGTTCAAGTTTGAAATAGCTGATTTTTGGCAATTTGTTTTGTTGAAGCTGTCGCGCATTTTTTCCATGTAAAAAACATACTGATTTTATAGCTACATATAGCTTTCTTAAATAAATATTTATAATCAGCTCATGCACTTTGAAATATTCAAAAATTACTTCCAATTTTACTATAAGAAAACTACTTTTACTACGCGATAGTAGGTTTTAGACGGTTTTATTATACAGAAGATAAAACGCCATTCATGGGACATTATCAAAGATTTTCAGTTTCTAATCTTTGCCCCTGAACTGAACTGGTGTTAACGCTCCGAAACGCCCACTACGATTTGTTTACTTTTCTTTGGAAACACATCTTTTCGTCTGTCATCGAATGGCAGGGCTACAGGATTATCATCTAATATACATAGCTTCCAAAGAGAAGGTCTTATTAAAAATCCCTTCTTGATACTGCTTATTTAAAAACAGGGTTTTTAAAGCTCTCTTTAAAAGAATTTTTTTTTTTTAACAGGTTTATATGAATATATTTTGATTTGTAAGGCATGTAATACTATCTTAATACTTACATATAACCTTTTCTATATGCATATACAATTACAATTTTTCTTTTGTGAAATCTGTCCTAGTCTTAAAAAGCACATTTGTTATGTTTGTATGTATGTCTGTAGCTTTAAATAAAAATTTATATCAAAACGTTATTATCATTGGTGCTTTTTTCATATTTAACATTGTGATTTTTGTTTCAAACTAATAAATAAAATATGTATTAAAAATTAATGCATACATATGTACACATGTTTGTACATACACATGTATATACTAAACAATTTCCTATGGCGAATTTCCACTAGGCATTAAATGGCAAACAAAATTGTGTTTATTTCGAAAGAAATTATTTGTCATTTTAATGCCTAGTGGGAACTCGGCATTAGATTGCATGTTTCTTAGATGTGTTTGTGCAAGTCAAATGGGATGTGGTGTTGGCTAATGTTCAAGCGTAATTTTCGTTCTCTACGTTTGAAGAATTTTACAATTGGCAGCGGTATGTGAAAACTTTTTTTATTTTTTCAATATTTGCTTTTATTAACAGTCCAACTAACAATAAATAATTAATAAATTGTTTCAATTGCATGTTCAAAAACAAATGCCTACTAATAAAGTTAAAAAAAATATACTAAATACTTACACTGTAAACACATAACGACAATTTGTATTACTCCAAGTGCGCCTTATTTACAAATGATCATGTTTCCCTGACATTATCCCAATTAATAACTATTCTACTTTTCCATAAATTTACTATTCATTTTTCTCAACATCCTCTTTCGCTCTATCTCTTTCTTTTCCAGCATCAAGGCTGCCGGCACAAAACAACCTCCCACTCGTCCCGACCATGGTCCACTTGGTGGTGGAGGCAGTGGTGGCGTTGGCGCGCACAGCCTGCCGAAGTCAACTCCCAGCAGTACTGATGACATGAACTCCGCGCTGCTCAAGTCCCCCAGCGACTCGAATGACAACTCCGTTGGAAATGGCATGTTCGGCAAGTTTAAGGGATTCACACTTCGTCCGCTTAATGATACAACTTCGCCCACTAACAATTTCAATGGTCCTAATATCGCTTACGTACAGCCCACCGTGCAGGACACAACGGCCATGAATGGCGGTGTACCACAACGCTCCGCGCCACCACCGCCACTGGTAAAAGGCAACTCGGTGGATGTAGCTCAACCTAATCGCTGGGCGCCACCACCACCCGTGGGTATTGCAAATGCACCAGCTTTACCGCCACCCAACCCCGGCTCGAATGCGCGCCCGATCATTTCGATGCCGGTGCTGGAGACCTCTACGTTGACGCTGCCACTTAAACAGTCGAGCGGTGAGATGTCACCAACGCGTGCCGCACCGCTACCGCCTCCCATGCACGCCGGTCAATCCGGCTCTTTGCCGCGTCCCGCCCCGCCGCCACCTGTGCCTATGCATGCAGACCCGAAATTGAATATAAAGCGTGATGGAACCATTCGACGCATAGCATCGTTTTTGAAAAAGGAGGAGAAACCGCCGTTAAAAGAGAAAACCTACATTGATCGCGAGAAGTTGAAGAATATCGAGATATCGGCACCGATGCCTGTTGCTCCGCAAGGAGAGTCATCTAATTCGGATTCTGAGACCACTCCCAAAGAGGAGGAAACGAAAAATCTAGTAAAGCGTGCGCAATCTATGCGTTCGCCCACTAAGAAAACCAACGTGCAGACGTTCGGGTCGATGCGTTATGCACCAGGTACGGCGCGTCCAAAGAGTGTGGCGGCTGCCACCGCGGCTTCACGCCCCAAAAGCCCGCCTCCACGGCCTCCACCCCTAAAGAAAACTAATTCGACGACTTCTTCTGGCTATGCGCTGCCAGTTGCCACTGCCAAGTCTAGTGTGGAGAATGCATATGACGACTGCGAGTTCGTCGAACATCCTCTGACCACAGTAGGTGAGTCGAACGAAGCAGACTCACCCACTTCAACAGACAATATTTATTCAGTAATCGATGAAATACCCCCAGCAGCGCAAACGCTTAAGCGCAGCGATTTCGTCAACGAAAGCAGTGATTTGGGTTTGCTGGGCGAGATTGTGAATGAGATTGAAAAGCGCAATGGCGATTCCATCTACACTGCATCAACGTTAGTGAAAAACAAACCGCTGTCCACGGAGGAGGTGAAAAATACAACAGCGGATTTGAAACCCAAACCAAAGCCCACAATCGCCACAAGCGCGAATCCGGATTGCAATGCAGCTGCGGAAGCGCCGAAAGCGCATGCGAGCACAACGGCAGCATCAGCACAAACAGTGCCTACTTACTTGCGCCCGACGCCAGTGAATGCTCCAGTGGCGCGCGTAGCGCCCACACGCGCTGATCTCTCTCCAAGCACAGCGTTCTCAAGTTTCAAGCCCACAACTTCAGCAGCAGCGGCGACAGCAACTGTCACCTCTAACAAAGCCACAACAGCTGCATCCAACCGCCTCGGCGGCAACAACAGCAGCACAAACACAAACTCTGTGACATCGAGAAACAAAGCCTTCAATAAAACGGCGGTCGCCGCAAACTCAACAGCGACAACGCGTGCTGCCGCCACAGCCACAAGTAGCAGTAATAGTACAGCACTGCCGTCCGCTACCATCACAAAACCAAAACCGCTTTCAGCGAAGCCCTCGTTCAACAGCCAAAAGAAAGTAACACCCGCGCCAAGTGTTGGCGGCGGCACAGCAGCTGCCGCACGTTTAGCGGCTACAGGTACGCCACGCACCGCGCCCACCGTCAAGTCAGGGAATATAGCGTCGCTGACGCAACGTTTTGAAAAAGGTGCGACAGCAAATACGAAAAAGTAAGAGCACGCTCATTGAATTTCTCCGCCGCTCTTCTATGAAAAAGAAGAGGTAGCGCCTAATTGGCATTAGACCACAAAAAGGCCGTTCAAAGGCAACATAGCCTAGGCATGGCATAAAGCGATATTGTAATTTATATTGTAATGAAATTTATTTGTGTATGGAAAGAGATAAGTTTACTATGGAAATTCGGGGGATATACATATGTACATGCGTATGTATGTACATACATATGTAATTAAGCAGAAAAATTATTAGAAAAAAACTAATTCAATTCAAAAGTGATATTCATTCCTTGGCATATTCTAACGTCGAACGAAACCATTGTAGTTGTATGTAAATTGTACGAATATTGTGCGCCTAAAGATAGTAGACTGTGTATAATACTAATATTCAATTCAGTTTTTGTAAAAAGCATTTTTTTTACTATCAGCTTGTACGTTGTAGTTTATGAAAATCGTAATTTTAAGCTCTGTACATTTATTTTAAATTAAGTTAAATGTGTGCATGTGTTTGTTTGTAAAGTATAGGTATTTTTATTCTCAAGTATCTCAACGTATGCAGAATATGAATTCAGTGGCAATAATTTTATTCATACAACTCTGGTGCAAACAAAATCTTTAGGGGTTTCCACCCCACATTCATTGGTTTGACCTAATAAGCTCATTTGCCCGATTGCCAGGTCACTTGCTCAATGTGGTGAATACCCGCATTATTTTGTAACTTCTATTTTTGAGCGAAACTTTTGTGCGGTCCTTGTGAAAATAACGGCGATTAGTTGCTTTAGATCATTGACGGGCACTGTCTTGCCCGCGGGCAAATCTCTTTTAAGTTTGCTATACATTTTGAATTGGCGCCTGTGGAGTAAAAGCTCAAAAGAGTTTTTCCCGCGGGTAAGGCAGTGCCCATCACCGCTTTAGAACCAAGACATATTGGACTACTACTAGTACGACAGCTGTAAACCTATACCGGCATGCTTAAAAAACCAACAAAAAAAAGAAATATAAGCTCTTAAAACGGTGAAAGCTTCAAAAAACGGTATAAGAATCCTGGTAAGAACGTTAAAAACCGATGAAACATTTTCGGGCTTATTTTGTTTTTAATGACAAATTACTTTTTTTAAATGCTAGTGTTAAAAATTCAAATTTTAGTTTTCATACTGAAAATCTTTTAATTTTAAAATATAATTCCTGCATATTTGTTAAACATCAAATGAACGTGTCGAAATTAAAATTTTAAAAGTGCATAAATTTTATAATTTTTCTTACACATTCGGAAGCTGCACTCATAACTAACATTGACAATTTTTTTGCCTTAGTTAGGAACAAACTTTTAGGACTTTTTATATTAATTTTCCAAAAGCAGTTATTTTAAGAATAAAATTTTCCAAAAGCAGTTATTTTTAAGAATAAAATTGGGGTCTCGAACTAGGTAAATTTTTCCAATTCCAAAAAAAAAGCTGAAAAATATTAAAAAATTTGTATGTATGTACATACTTCGAAAGCGCTTCAATTTTAGACTCTCGGGATTAATATCTAAAGCTTATAAAATTGACTGATAAAATTTCAATAGAGTTTTACGCCGTCTCCGAACGTCGAATGGCTTTTTTCATGGCAGACATACATTCGGGGGGTTGCCATTGCCTGACGAGGGTGACCGCTATTAGAACAACCATTAGTTAATCTCAAATTTTAAAGACTTTTAAAAAGTTTTTTGCTTCAAAAAACTTTGTTTTGCAAATATGACTTGATCAGCTGAAATATTCGTAACCATTATTTTCCATATCCGCCATTAAATTTTATTTGTAATGATAGTTATGCTCAAATACCCTTACGAGCCGTCTTACATTTTATTATTTTGTGTATTAGTATTCAAAAACACTGCCTGCCCTTATAAAAATTACAAATAAATTTGGCAGCTTTTCACCAATAAGCATTTAATAAAATAAGCTTTAAGCTTAACAGTTTATTTCTTAATTTTTCTTGAGAAAGACTTTAAAAAGAAATTTGACTGTTTTGCAGGGCTCCGTATTACCTTCTGAAAGAAATTTATTTTATTCGACATTATTTTAATTTCATTCTCCTAAGTGTAAAAAACGAAGCCAAAGAAATCAACAAGTGCACTGAGATTTCTTTAGCTGCTATAAATATAAGTGAAACGATGAATAGTATCTAGTATATACATACATAATATATACATGCATACATATCGTCGTTTAAAGTAAAAAACCACGTATCAAGATAATGCAAACCTTGTGAGCTTGCGTGAATTATTTTCTAAAGAGTAAAAACACTCATATTTTAAAATGGTTCTCTTTTTTATAAAGCAATCGCATTTCTGGCTAATATACTTCAAGACGAATGGATAAGGCTTGAGCCAAAAGCTTGTGTGAGCAAATCCAAATTTTGGCAAAAAGTGTCAGTTACTTTAAACTACGATATGTATACTGAATTAAAATTAATTATTTAAAATCAATAAATTTTATTAGCAAGCTGTAATGCAAGTTTGTTGTAACTAGTAAATAGAAATATTCGCAATTTAATTGTCAATTGTGTGTGTTTGCTTCGAATGGCTCAAACCGCTTTGTCAAGCACAACACCAAAAAATAAAAAAAAAGTGTTGAACATCCTAGAGGTATTCCATTAACTGTAAAACGTCTCAAAACTCTCGAAATTTTTACGTACAGTCGAAATTTGTCTGAAAAATATTTTCGAGTCATCCTTTCTCCCCCTCAGTTATTAAAAATAAATAAAATTATAACAAAAAATGCACTCCATTATTTCTAATATGTAAATGGGGTTGAAATTCAGTCGGAAGTGCATTGCAGAACCTGTCTGTATATAAATTTGCAAGCACCTTTGCGCCTCGTCAGCAATTCCAAAAGTTATTGAAAAATGCATACATACACACTTGCATATATGCAGCTTTATCAAAAATAAAAGAACACACATCTCTCAATGTATTTTTCTAGTATTTAACCGTCAGTCTGAGTGTGCTGGAAATTCTACTTTTGATTGTGAGTGCGAAAAGGTACACACATCAGTATAAATATGATTACAACTACATACTATTAGGCTTAAAGTTATTGAATTGTGTTATACTGAATAAAGAAAATAAATAAATTAGTTAAAACCACAAACAAAATATATATGCTACATATATATAAAAAATATTTATAGGGAGTTAAAATGTAAATTATAATTCTAAAAGTGATGACACAAATAAACTACTTTTTCATAAAATTAATGTACAAACATTTAGTTTTTTATTTTCTCATAAAAACCTAAGAATTTTTCAAGAGGAGGCCCAGAAAAGTATATCTTTTTTTCTTCTGGGTTTCAACTTAAATTTAATTTTCATCAAACCCATAAACACTTGAAATGGGTCCACCGGTGACTCTCCACCATCGCTCTTAATAGTTGTGTTTAATGTGCTGTTCTAGGTTTACGTCAGGTTAAGAGACCTCAAAAAATTTTGTTTCATGAGGATTTTTCTTGCTCTAACTTAATCTACTTTTTGTTTAATGATCCTGCGATAAGTGGACTAGGGTAACTGAAAGCACAAGGGTGATTGCAAGAGCTTTTTTGGTGGAGTACCTTAGAGCAAGCAATCACATTTTTCTGACAGAACCAGCTGTCAAGAATTCAAGAACAAATTTAACGACATAAAAAAGAAATTTAGCTAAGTTAATTAAAACTTGGAAACTTTTTAAATGGAAAGCACAAGAAGACAAACTAAGGATTGCTGCTTGAAAAGTGTTTCATGAGATTTCTACTCTTTTTTCTGTCTCATTAAAAACGATAACAGTAAGAAAACGCATCAAGGGAGGTTAAAGACATTTGATTAGCCGTTCATTAGGTAAACAGTATACTCAAAACATAAAAAATCAGGTGCTAAGGCAAGAATGGACGTTGCAGCAAAATAATTTCAAAACGTACATATCTTCAACCCTTTGAACGTTCACAACCCCCTAAGGTAATAATATTGGAAAAGAGATTGGGATTTTTTTTTGTTTCTAAATTTAATATTTTTATCGAATGGGATTTATACGGGGCGTCCTAGGCCAAGGATGGGCACATTTTTGGCTCTTAAAGCAGTCAAAGAGCCCGCAAGTGCTACGCAAGAGGGTAAAAAAAATACGTTAAAATCATCATATACATATATTAGTAATGAGAGTCGGAGTACAAGACATTTTATTACGCTCTTCTTCACCCTTCATTGCTGACTCTTGATGTCATCCCTCATCTAGCACCCACATAAATGTGCCACACCGGCTCCTAAGTGCAAAAGGCTATCCTAGACCACCCGTCCACTCCCTCTAAAATGGGTGGTAATGTTTTTTTTTATTGATATGTAAACGTTAAAATATTACCTACCAAATCAGGAATACTCTATCTTTGTGGTGGTATTACTGACTTCGGGATTCGACCGGAAGTGGGTTAACTGACCGGAAATATATATTTTTTTTTAAATTTGACATATGTACATATTTTTCTACTGATTCAGATTCTGAGGATACAAATTCTTAACTATTGTTTGAAACTTTTTTCTCGGAAGTGGCTTTTTCAACCCCTAAGGGACTTCTAAAACTTACAAAAATGCTTTTTATGGAAAATCAGAAAACATGCATCACCAAGTCGGGGATGCTCTATCTTTTGGTGGTATTACCGACAACCGGTTTCGACCGGAAGTGGTTTAAACTGACCGGAAGTATATTTTTTCGTAACTTTTGTTTAAAAGAATTGATTTTTTTATTAATTTTAGTACGTGCGCATGCAACCCTGTGGTGTTTCCTCAAGGTTTGTGCCTGAGCTAAACATAAATAAAAACAGCTGTTTCGCAGCTGTCAAGGCATTTCATCTTCATACTGCGATTTTAACTAATTTTTAATCAAATGCGAATTTTTAATGAATGTCATGCTAATAAATAATTTAGGTTCTTTGAGGCGCTACTGTGTGCAAGCCAGCGGCACTTTCTATGCTACTACTCCAATTTTTTACGTCAATGCCGGTAAGTAGCGGGTATCTTCTGCCTATATGTATGTACATCCAATTCACATATGACTATTATTTAACAACAGCCCCGCACATTGGACACCTTTATTCGGCTGTAATAGCAGATGCTCTGTCTCGATATCAACGTTTGCGACAGCCTCAAACGCAGGTGCATCTTTGCACAGGAACCGACGAACATGGCACAAAAATTCAGCAAGCAGCGGCAGCGCAAAGTGTACCAGTTGCCCAATATTGTGATGAAATCTCTGCACGTTATCGGCAAGTTTTCAAAGAAGTTGGTATAGCTAATACGGATTTCATACGTACCACCGAGCAGCGGCATAAGCAGGCGGTTGCGCAGTTTTGGGTAAATTGTATGTATGTAATATCGCTTTCTAAATATGCAAAGCTATTCTTTTTTTCTTAAAATTGTGCGCTTCCAGCGAACTTTACACAAGCTTGGCCACATTTATTCAGCCGCATACAGTGGTTGGTATTGCGTTTCGGATGAGACTTTTCTTACCGATTCTCAATTGCGGTTAGACATTGCAACGGGTGCACGTTTCTCGCTCGAGTCGGGTCATCCTGTTGAATGGACTGAGGAGACAAATTATATGTTCCGTTTGTCAGATATACAAGAAAATGTCATATATTGGGTTAAAAAAGGTGGTCATGTACGTCCAAAAAAGTTTGAAAAAATACTCTTGGACATGTTAAGTGAACCACTACCAGATGTATCGGTTTCGCGTCCTGCGAATCGTGTACATTGGGCTATCCCCGTACCCGACGATGAAACACAAACTGTCTATGTATGGTTAGATGCGCTAATAAATTATCTTACATCAGCGGGTTATCCAGATAAAAAAGTAGGCGAAAATTTCTTGCTCACTTAATGACCATTGCTAATTGTACACATTTTCTCTTTTAGTACCGCAAGTTTTGGCCACCAAACGTACAAGTAATCGGAAAAGATATTTTGAAGTTCCATGGCATTTATTGGCCTGCATTTCTTATTGCTGCAGGTATGGTCAAAAATTTCGAACTTTTTAACTTCATTATTTTCTTTTTATATATTATATGTACATTAGACCGTTCGTTATTTCAACTTTTTTTTATTATAAAACTCCTCGGAAAAAGATGTTTTGTGGTCTAAAAATAAGCTGTACAAAATTTTATTCGAATATGATAACTCTAAGTACTTGCGCGTTGTATTTGAAAATTTAGAAAACCATATGCTTTCAGGGAAAAATGTTTATAACAAAATACATAGTTGAAAATTCTGAATTTTATAGTCATTTGCTATGTGAAATAACTCACAGAATATGAATATGAGGTCCAAAATAAAAATAGTAGAATAGGTTTTAAGAATTTGAGAAATTATGGCTTTTTTCAAATTAAGAAAACAGCATTTTCAATTTTTTTCCAAAAATATCCCGTTATCGCAGCGCAGAAAATTCTCCACCAGATTAAAGGTCATTGAAATCCCTATGAACTTGGTTATACAATGTTTTGCAATCAAATTATCAGTTTAAGAGTTATCTGCAAATATATTGGTGGAATCGGACACAATTTTAAGTCGCATCGAAGGATTGAAAATTTCTAATGGACATACAAGTGTTGCATGACATTCTCAAATAATGAAGATCTGCGTTGGTCGTATAAATAAAAAAAAAAAATTTAATATTCGTTATTCGCCACCTGCGATAAATTATGTAAATCTCTTCAATAACACCAATGCCTTCCCGTAGAGACGAATCATAGGTTTTAAATTTTTGTATCCAAGCAGAAATGCAATTGAAGTTACGGGCTAATAAAAACTAAATCTGTTTTTATGTTTTTATTTGTAAACATTTATTTAGTTCGACGAATAAAAAAAGCTCAAGAAATGGTCAAGAAAAATTTATTGAGCCAAATTTTCTTAAGCAGTACGTAGTTCTTAAAAAATATCCTTCGCTTTCTCCATGATGAAAACCACGATAAAAACATTACAAGGTAAATTCATTCTCAATTCGTCGGCCGTTTCACTTAATGACATTAGCAGCCATGTTAGCCATTTGTCTTTTGCTGAGATTATGACATTTTCATCAAAATCATGCTACCAGATTGAACATTATGTAATTTTTTTTTTCTGAAAGGAATTTGATCGACAAAGGAAAAAATAAAATAATTTTTTAAAATAATAAAAAGAAAAGTGAGTTGCGCATTTGGAAGCTGCAAAAATACCAGATACCACTCAAGGAGAACGGTATAAAATTTCTTCAATTTCCAGCGCTTCCTTTTGTGAGGCAAAAATGGCTAGAGGTCTGGAGCGTGAGCGAGGAAAGCCTTTTAAAATATTTTTAACCGACTTCCAAAAAAGGAGGAGGTTATCAGTTCGTCGGTATATTTTTTTTTTTTTTTTTTTTTTATGTATGTTACCGCATAACTTTGGACCACGTCAACCGATTTCGATAATTCTTTTTGCATCGGAATGGTAGTGTCTCATACTAATCTGGTTAAGATCCGATCAGCGGATCATGAGATATATATATATATATATATTTTTATATGAGAGTTGAAGTCGGTTTTTTTTTGCTAAAAATTACTTATTATGTATGTTCTCAACATTTTCATTCCAAAAGTGCAGTGCCGCGAAAGGAAAGGTAATGAGTTTTTGAATATTTTGGAGCATTTCAACTCGAAAATTATTGAAATTAATGGTGAAAAATTAACAAGTCCAAATTTTTCAAAAAAACTATTGTACAATTCAAATGATACAATCGAGGAAAGAATTGTACAACGATTTTTTTTGTGAAGGACATTTTTTCGAATACTATATTTTATTTTAAAGTAAAAAGAAAACAAAACTAAATATGAAAATAAGAAGATGAGAAAAATGACATCTTGATGGGTTTGTTGAGCTAATTAAATAAAAACATTTAATAATGTTAACGCAACATACATGCATACATATAGATTAATTTTCAGTTTTGGTGAAGGGGTGCGAAAAAACATAAACGTAAATACATATGCCATTATCCATTGTATTTCGAAGTAAAATTACATTCTTTGTATGAACACATGTATTTTCAATACAATTAAAAAAAAAATTGTAACAGCGATTTTTCGATGTAGTTTACTTCTATTTGGCACGTAGATCATGGATCCACAGTCTCGCCCATGATACAAAAAAGAAGGTAGTTCCATTGTCACTTTTTCGTCGCCATATTAACAACCTGACAATTAAGTAGATTGTGACATTTCGTGCTACCATACCCAATATCTAAAATCCTCCAAATTTTGTTATTATTTTTTTGTTTATTTACAAACATTTTGTTCTTAGAATCGAAATTTGAACAAGCACAAGGTGCATTAAACAAGGTGTGATTGACAATTCAGTGCGGCTCTCTTTTAAGGTACTATAATGTCAAAAAGTATAAACAAACGAATTAACCCTTAGTGATGCATGTATCTTGTCAGCACTGATACCCAAGGCTTTTATTTTGATTATAGTTTTGTTTTACTTACATTACCTGGAATATATATATTTTGTCAATAAAACAAATTGTTTATAAAATAGTTTTAGCAATTTTCTTGTTTTTAATTGCCCAAGTTTTATGCTTTTGTGCGTTTATTTTTATATTTAAATTTTTTATCCTAAACATTATTCGACACTTATAAAAGTAGGATTTTACATTTGTTTCCAATTTTATATGTGAGCTTAACTCTAACAATTTTGAAAATAAATTTTTTTCCTGCGAAATAGTTTTCCATTAAAGACTTTGCTTGGAGCAGTTTTAAATTAACCTCTTCCATACTGGTTGGCTTGGTTTTAATTATTTCGGTAAGAATAAATATTTCTGTTCTCAACGTGCAATCTAAAGAGTCGCCTGTTTGAGTTTGGACATCAACAAAGAATACATATATCCTGATCGCGTACTAAATCCTCACTTGTATCAGTTATTTCGTATGGCATTGGGACTGCGCCTGGGTATAAACGAGCTCGTTTGAAAGTGCTTGATTCGGACGGACAACTTTCCACCCCGTGCATCGCTATGTTTATCGCGTTCCCGGCCGTGATCTAAGTAAAGTAAAAAATAAGATGTAGGTACAAAAGTTGTGGAGTATGAATTCTCTGCAACTTTGGAATTTCAATATTCTATGTATTTTCAACAGAAATTGTCAAAAACGGCGAAACCGTGACAATGTAATTTTTTTTGTAGTTTTTGCTAATTTTTTTAGAATAAGAAATGATATTTAAAAAAAGCTTCTATATAATAAATGTGGGAAATTAAATTCTCTACATATTTGTATTTAACCGTTTTTTACGAAAAATGCTAAATAAGCTTGCAAATCGCAAAAAACCCAAAAAAAACTTAAATCCAAGATGGCCGAATCTTGCCAAATGAAATTTAGGGGCAAGACTATGGGCTGGTTTCTCCAACTCAACTTAACTTACTTTAGGCATTTTTTGGACTTAAGTCAAAAGTTAGCCTACTTTTTACACAGCTTATTCTTGACTAGGTCTAAAAACTTTACTGAGCTATGAGTTTTATATGGAAGGGCAAATCAAAAGCGTTCCCATAGTGAAGCTCAGGCATCTCATTAAAGGTGTTCTTACACGATATGTATTTGCATATGTAAATGTGACTTTTTTAATGCATTGTAATTGCGTATGTCCTTCAAATTTACAGTCTTTATTTAACGATTAAAATTACATTCTTTGAAAATGAATTTAACTCAGATGATTCTATCTATAAACATTTCTATTTCGTATGTACGTGCATCTGCTCTGTACAGAAACAAATATAATTTGCCTTTACATGATATCTTGACATTTACATATGTGAAAAGTGGCATGTACACATGCAAATACATATCGTGTAAGAACACCTTAAGATGTACGAATTTACACACGCAAATATTGAAATAAACAAAAAATATGAGAGCACTGATAAAAATTTATATTTAAAATTGATTTAATATTCGTATATCGCTAGCTCAGATTGAAGAGTAGCTAATTCCACTTATTATGAAAATTAATATTTTGATACGGGAAGCTAGAGAAATTAAAAAATGCGTTGTATCGAAAAGGATAAAGGTGCTTGTTTTATTTATTGTCGTTTATATTCAATGAAAGTCCAAAAGAGGAACCGAAAACCCGATAAGCTCAAAATGGTACGAAATCTTTTAATATAGATCGAATCCCTCAGATTCGTATAATATGAAGTTTTGCTTTGCTTTTAAATAAAGTTTTGCGAAATACTTGAAGAAAATGGCTATAAGAAGCTTTTTCCTCTCCTGTAAAATTTTTAAAATTGGACTTAGCAGCTTTTACTCTAAGCTAGCGATATAGTGAAAGTGTAAACGCAATTGCCAAATTTGCAAAAACTTGCCACCTTCGAAACAGCTGATCACTTCCACAGTTGCCACTGGTGGTTCCTTTGGCAATTTATTTTCTGCTTGGTATATTTTCCCAGATTTATCATTTTATACAATTGAATACTTTTGGATAAGAAAAATCTTTTATTATATGGGAATTAATAAGTTAATTTTCTAAAATTATTTGTGATACCGCATTGAAAAATAGGATAATCTCCTCCAAACACCCATGATTGATCCAGAAAAATATAATAGATATAGCTACAAATATATGTAGTATGTACCTTTAAAATTATAAAATTTTCATTTTAAAAATCCATCAACCGGCAACTTCAGCAAAAAACATTTCAGCATACTTATATTGATAATAAAATTTGCCAAAAATAATTCAAAAAGGCCATATTTTCTTTTGTTTATTTGCAAACATTTGTTTGTGATCAGCTGATATTCTTACTGCAAGTTTTCGTTAGTAAACATTTATCCAGCAGAAATTTGCAACTCTATCACATTTTTCTGTCTCAATTTCCCCTACTTTGCAAGTTTTGACCATGTGTTGATTTTTTTTTTTAAATATTTATAATGTGTTTGGAGTTAATTTTTTTTTGGTTATTTTTCTTTAAAAAAAGTTGCTCAAAAATGTCAACAAATTTTCATCGACATTTCAATTTTTAAATCGGAATCTTTAGAACATTTTTGGGTATGCAGTTTTATAGCCCAAAAAATTGAAGTGCAAGTTTCAAACGGCTAAAAACTCCCGTTGATTTCTGAGATTTCTTTGGTGACAGCTTTTGCAATTTTTCCATATAAGCAAGAATTTCTTATGAAATAAAATGCGGGAGACCGCTCACAATCAAATTTCAAAAAATCAACGCCAGTTTCTTTAAATTGCAGTCTCCAAAGAAAAATTCTCAAAAACCAACGCGAACGCCGGCTGAAACTTGCACACCATTAGACCAAAATTGTACATTTGTTGAATTTTGTACTTTTTAACTAGGTTTAATTTACAAAAAAAAAAAAAAAGAATCTCACTGTAGACATAGATTTTGTAGATGTAGATTAGCAAAATTAAAGAATTTAACGCAATCATACATACAGTTTTATATACAGTGTGCGTCAAAAATAAGTATACCCTGACGTTTTGACGATTTTACTCATTTATAATTTCCAGTCAAAATTGTTCTTATTTTTTATAAAAGATATAGTTTATTCAACAGCAAAAACCGCAAAAATTATTATTTTTTTTTAATTTCATACAAAACTCCGAAAAATGCAAGCAATTTTCATCGAAATTTTAAACTTTCAGTTCCATTTCTAATGCCGAATTTCTACTAGACATTGAAATGATAAAAATGTATGCCATTAAAAAAATGCCATGTTGAAATGAACTTAAGTTCTATTTTTTTAAGATTATTTTTTAATGTAATGACATAATTATTTTTTAATGTCCGACTTTGTCATTTGTCGTTTTTGCCATTTAATGCCTAGTAGAAATCCAGCATTATGCTGGACATATGACAAAGTTGGGCATTAAAAAATAATCATGTCATTAAGTTAAAAAAATAGTCATTAAGTTCATTTCCACATGGCATTTTTTAAATGGCATACATTTGTGGAAATTCGGCATTCGAAATTTTGAGCATGCTGTTTTGTAGCCCTCAGCGACTTAAACGTGCACTTTATTATACAAAGGGCCGTTAACTTATTTATTTTAAAGTATAGATAAGTTAGTTAAGTTAACCGCCCTAAAATTTAATGGCTGTTCAATGAACTAAATTTTTTTAAAAAAGAAAAAATTGTTATGGTAAATATACATAAATAAATAAAATCGTCAAAATATCAGGGTTTACTTATTTTTAACGCTCTCTGTATGTACTTACATATTTAGTAATAAAATTTGACGAGCTAAATTTCTATGTCTGTACAAATCTTGTGACTGCTAAGGAAAATGCCGTGCCAATTTTTACCAAAAGATCCACACAAACAACTACTAATTTGTACAAACATACCAATCATGTGAACTGGCCTTTATATTTATTCTCTATTAAATCTCTTATCTCTTTTTAAGCACCTAATTCGCAGAGCTACTCTATCTTCTACTTCACGATATTTTTTTTATTTTTATTCTTCTTTTGCAGGCTTGGAACCGCCACAACAACTATTTGTACACTCCCACTGGACAGTAGATGGGCAGAAAATGTCGAAGAGTAAGCAGAACGTCGTGGATCCGGTTGCGTCTACCAAAACTTATACAATGGAGGGTCTGCGGTATTTCCTGTTGCGTGAGGGTGTAGCGCATAGTGATGGCAGTAAGTACAAGTAACAGTTCGTATATACATATATGTATGTAGACAGTGGCGCTCATATAAATAGCACATTTTTCTTTTTACAATATTCACAATGTTTTACGTGATACATTTTTTCGTTTTTTTTTTTTTTATAAAAATATACCAGATTATATAACATAAACTATATAAGTCAGAGATTAAAACTTTGTGCGCAGTTCAGGAAAACTTAACAAATTTCAAAAAAATTTCATCAAAATTTTCAACTTTTTTTAGATTTTTTAGAATAATAATACGCAGGTTTAAATATTCCGAAAAGTCCCGTTGATTTTTGAGAATTTTTTTGTAGATGGCGTTGTGTATTTTCTCTCATTTAAAAATAGATTTTGTTCATGCTTTATATGGAAGAAAATGCGCAACATCCTCGAGAAAAAATTGAATGGGCTACATACCCAAAAAGTTTCTTAAAAATTCTGAAAAAAGTTGAAAATGTTGATGACATTTTTATGAAATTTGTTAAATTTTCCTGAACTGTTCACAAAGTTTTAAACTTTGTCTTATATATATGGGTTCTGTCATAGGGTCTACTATATTTTTATAAAAAGATAACGAAAATTGAATATTGTAAAAGTAAAAGTGTGGTATTTACGTGAGCGCCACTGTACATATTAAGAACATATGTATTTTTGCTCGATGCTAAGAGAGCACATTATGTGCAGGACAAAGTGCTTGAAGTAGTAAAATGGAAAACAACAGAGTTTAAACAGTTACTAAGAAATTAGCAAGAATAATACATGATGCGAAGCGTAAGCTTAGTAAGTGACCGCACTGCCGACAGCCACTGCAATAACGCTGTGAAGCAGATTGTTTCATATCACCACTTTTTGTTAGGTTTTTTGCAAGCGGAAATCAAGCAAAAAAAAAACAATTTAAAAGCAAATGAAAGTTAAGACTAAGTAGTTAGAAGGCTTGAGTAGATTTATTAAAGTTTACAAAGTGTAAATGTGGGTAATTTAATCGCCTTAGTAAACGTAAAACATAGCAAACTTGCGTTTGTTTAAGGTGCAGACTCCATGCGAATAGTGATTTATAAATTTCTGGCTACAGTCATAAGAATTTCCTACTTAAAGAGGAAGAAAGTTGACTTGAAAATTTTTCTATACCTTAAAAATACTTTTGTAGTTAATTGTTATTGAAACATTTTTACCTAAACAGCCGCTAAGGATTTTTTTCAAAGAAATTTACACACCTTGACTGATTTATGCTGCAGCCTTCTAACTGCTTTAAGACGCAACAGTGGCTGTGGTTGCTTTCCCTTATGTTAAGCTATAACAGCCATAAGTTTATTTAAACTTTTGGTTGTTAAATTCGATTGCGTATAACTCGTCTGCAGAAAAAGTTTTCATCCCACACACATCTTCATTGTTTATGACCTTACTTTAACCCGTCACATTTTCTGCGTTCCAATCTTGTTGTCTCTCTGTGATTTCTAAACCACATTTCCCAAAGATTTTACAACTAACAAAAACAATGCTATTGTAGTAATTTACATACATGAACATATTTGTGGATGCGTGTGCATAGTACATATATACATACATACATACACATGCTTTAGGTTAGTTAGCTTGTTGTGGGTATATGTGATTATAATATTTATTTCTATACATACATACATACATAAATACATTTTCTCAACTTTTATTGCGGTAGTTTCGAGTTGAAAATTTGATTAGTTTTCACAAGTTTTAATAAAAGTTTTTGGGTTTTTGCATTGTTACATCACCTTAACTTATGTAAGTATTTTATAAATAATTACATGCAAAGGATGACTTGAGAACACACGTCAAGCGGGTCATGCGTGCGCAGATAAGAAATTTTCATTTGTAGATAATGAATAAAGAATAACATATTGGGTGAAGTAAAAAGTTATTGCGTATATTTTCAACAGATTGTGATAGTAAAGTCCTTTTCATTGGAGTTAGTTTTTACGTGGCCGCTAAGGTACTTACAAACATCGGACCAAAGTTGTAATACCATTTCATGAAAGGTATAAAAAGGATAATTTTTGAGTACTCCTTTATGTAGCGTATCGCTTGCTGCAAGACAGATATGTATATGTACGCTTGCAGCCGCACCTCATGGTGAACAGACGGTACAAAATTCAGTGAACCCTTAAACAGAATAAGTTGCAGTAGCGCCACTAAAGCTGCCTCTCTTTGGTTTAAGACTAAAAGCTGAATTAGTCTACATAGACTCCAGACTTAATTTCCGTAACTTTACTTAACTTAACATTTTGACCAACCTTCTGGCTTAAGTTGACGTGTTGACTACTCATTGATGATTTCTTACGGTAAATTAAGTTAAGTCTAGACTAGGACTAAGGATCCACATGGGTTAGTGATACTGAAAAAGATAATAAAAACTGCAGAAGTGAATGGGGTATAATCTTTTATAACAGGGTACGCTATGTTTTTTCAGCCTTTTCTAAGCTGGATATCGAACCAAACCGTATGGCTCTGGAGGTGAACGAAGGACCTCTTGTCAGCAAGCAAACATTCAGCGCATTCGCGTCTCTACGAATACCGCAGACAATGAAATGATGCGTTATATTTATGAGCTTTACAAAGGTATGGATATACTATACATACACATATAGCGCAGAAATTTTAAATGCAGCGTCTTCGTTTTTGTCTTCTTCAGTGCGGATAGCTTTTTATGTTTTCACAAAATTAAAGTATTTCCCAAAAGATTTATCCAAGGATGCATCGTTTAACAACACAGACTTTCTAAAAACAAATAAATACTTGCCCTGGTGCATATTATACGTTACAACTTCTTAAATAGAATTTCCTCGAATTGGTAGCAACAGATAGCCGTAAAATATGCTTACATTATGCCAAGTAAGCGTTAACTTTCAAGTGGTCGCGCGATCATTTGAAACATAAGCAGTCGACACCTCTTATAACTAATCAGAAAAATAATCATATTTTGTGGTTTTAATATTTTTTTATATTTTTTGCAGTTATATTTGCTGTTGTAAAAATTTGTATTATTTGTATTTATTTATTCTAGAAATGCAACAGACTAAAAAGAAAAATAAATAGTAACTACTTACACAAAAATTAACTAAAACTAGAGTGCCAGTTACTGTCGAAATTCCTAGTTTTAGAAGCCATGGAGAGGTTTTCTAACTTAACACGTAGCAAAACTTATACGGTACAACTTAACTAACCGGAAAATCTTCTGTTGGTCTTTGGAGGACCTCGGCAGGACTTGGAATTGACCCGATTCTTTCAAGTTTATCGATAAATTTCAATGATTTGATACATATCGATAGTTCGATGAATTTCAAGAACACTAAAATTCGATAACTCAACAAAATTCATTAACTCGACCAATTTCGATAACTGTGAAATTCGATGGCTCGATAAATTTAGATAACTCAAAAATGTAAAAACTTTGGATACCTTTATAAATTTTTACTTTTGACATCTCCACATTTTTCGAAAACTATCTAAACATTTTGATAACTCGTTACACTCTGTTAAGACGATCAAATGCGATAAGCAGTGATAAATCGATAAGCTTATATAACCTTGAAATTTCGATAAATCGATATATTTTGAAAATTCCATAAACTTCGCTTCGTTGAACCAACCAATTTCAGTAGATCAATAATTATCGATAACTCTGTAAGTTGAAAGAACTCCATGCATTACGACACCTCGATATATTTCGTTAAGTCTATAAATAATGATAATTCAATAAATATCGATAACTTGATACATTTCTTTAACTTGACAAATTTCGTTAATCCCACACGTTTTTATAGCTCGATAAATATCGTAAATTTGTACAACTAAGTTTCTGTGTCTATAAATTTCGACAACTCAGTAAACATTGATCATTTGAATAATTCGATACGTTGCGATAACTTAATAAGCATGGATAAATTTCGATAATTATAAACTTCGATGATTCGGTAAATTTCAGCAACCTTTATGGCTGATTTTATTTCGATTCCTATCGGAAAATTTCAGCTCTTTTAACCTACTTCTTATGTATTTCTCATTGTCTCCATTTTTTTTTTCATCTTCAATTTATCTTTATTTCGAAGTTTAATTTCAAATACGAAGTAAACGAAAATGCCAAACGCTTGAATTAAACAGGTTGCAAAAACAACCATTAACAAATATGGAAATTTTTAAACGACGATTTTAAACCAATTTCGAAACTATAAAAACTCTCCTCATCTACAGAAAATCACTTTCCAACGGTGTTTCTGGTTTTGAAATCGGTAACTTTACCTTGGTCTTCATCTTTGTTTTTATTTTTCACATCTTTGCTTATATCCTTTTGTTTTTCTATTCACGTAGATGAGATGAGGTGCGATGACGTGATAAGATGTGACGTGATTTTATGTGATGTGATAGGATGTCATGTCATGTGTTGTCATATCCTCTGATGTCATGTTATATGATGTCATACCATACGATGTCATATCATGTGATGTCAAGTCATGTGATGTCATGCCATATAATGTGATGTCACGTGATATCGTGTGATGTGATATCATATTATGTGATGTAATATCATGTTATGTCTCTTTATATCATGTGATAAAATGTGATGTCATGTCATGTAATGTGATCACATTCCATGTTCCGATTAGTATATCGATAACCCTGTTGGTAACTGTGTCGATAAAAATACCGATAACAATATCCATAAACATATAGAAAAATACAACGATTGTAAGATCGATTAACTCATCGATAAATATAACAATCATCAGTATCGATTATTGTACATATCGTTAAAAATATAAATGACTAAACCGATAACAAAATCAATTATTTAATCGATTATTATACCTATAACAATATCCATTATTGTATCAATAACAATATCGATTATTATTATTGATTGATATATCGATTACAATAGCGGTTATTTAATCAATAACAGTATCGATAACAATATAGATTATTTTATCGATAGAAATATCGATTATTATATCG